AATCTTGTTCTTAGTGTAGGACATAACTATATTGTGTGTGTGGAGTTTTGGGGTCTAGTTTCTCCAGTGTAAGAAAATAGGTGTGATAGCCCACTGCCATCGTGTATTCACACACATTCAATCAAATTAATTATTAAAGAGGTATATAGGGCTTAATGACAGGCTATTAACATTGCGGATAATTGTCTTTGGGTTTGATACACTGGGGTGTTGAAGGACGTGCCTCCAGGTAAATGTTTTAACTTATAACTCCATAAATGTGTAGGTTTTTTAAATAGTTTGCATATCTGTGCTTAACATATGGATCTGATACCAGCAAATGCCAGGAGTGAAGGCAGTGTCCACTATCTGAACAGTAACTGGGTGAAATCTGATCTTGAGCAGCCATTAAAAAATTTAGTGAGATTTTTATCTGTTCTCAAGTACCACTCTAAACTTTATTGTGTTTAATCTAGTTTACTTGTTAAAGGAACATAAAAAGAGACATTAGGAATGCAGATTTAGTGTTGTACAATCTTCAAGATGAAGAGTAATGGCTGGGAAGTCTTAACTCTCAGGCTCTGCTCCTATACTAATGTCACAAAAATCATATTACTGGGATGCAGCTATCTTTCATAGGCAGCAGAGGCAGAATGGATGGCTCCTTTCCCTCAGCAGGAGCAGCTATCCTGATCCAATGTGAAGAGCCAGAGCAGGGTCAATTGAGCCATCGCCAGTGCCTTGCTCTCAGCAGAGCTGCAGGGATGTGAGCACTCTGACAGGTATGTCCTCATTTGCTGGGCGTATCCTTGTGAGGCCAGGGGTCAGATAGCCTAGGTATGGTCTGCTTTGTGTTTTTTATAAGGCATGATATGTCACCCCAGCTAAAAGTGCCCTGGTCTCCAGGATAAAGTGGAATTTCTTTTGTTTTATTATTTGTAACATTATGGAAGGATAGTTAAAAGACATTTTTCCTTAGTGGTGTGAAGACTGATAGACCAATGTGAATTCTATTTGTTCATGAGTCTGCTTATAGTTTTTCAATCTGTTAATCACCAGGGAAACAAAAGCACAAGGAAAAAAAAATTGTTTATGAAAAGCTCTTTTGTGAGTCTATGGCATAATTCTTTCAGCACGGAGGAACAAGTTGTTCTCAGGGATGTACCTAAGTTCTCATCACTCTATACAGGTGTCAGTGTAAGCCAAGGAAGACTCAAATGTTGCCCAGCTGAGGGTTATTTTGTTCATTTGGCTGGTGCTCAAGAACAAAAAATAACTTTTGGATAAGAATAAAATAGAGTAAAGCATGTGTGGTAAGTGTATTTTCCTGTATGTTGCCCAGAATTATTCCAGGGGCGCTTCGTAGGAGCAGTGTTGACCAGCAGGCACCAGATAGGGAACAAAATAATTACTGACTTGATTCACTTCTTTCATTGTGTTTCCTTCTCCTGGCTGAAGGCTCCTCTAGCTCAGTGACTTTAGGAAAAGTAATAAGAAATGATGTTTGAGGCTAGTCACATATACATATGTGGGGACGTATATCGCCAATAGAATGAGTTTCCCATAAACTTCAGTTGCCTATTAATGCTAACCTGGTACCAATCAGGGTTTCTCTCCACACCTCTGACTTCCTGGCCATCAGGGATTTGCAACTGTTCTTAGGACTCACTGGAATTTAGGCTAGCAGAGCAGTCCAGGACAAATCACAAGCATGATTTATTAGCTGCTAGTGACAAATGGTTGGACCTACAAGGAAGCCTTTCCATTTTGTAATTTTGCCTGCAAATATTTTTCTTAAAAGAAGTAATAGCCTGGTTTATTCTGCTAATAATCTGTACTGTTTTATGTGTAAGCCATTGTTCCAGACTTTACCAATAAATGGAGGAAATGGCACACTTTTAAAAGGAGATTAAATTGTGGCGAGTGGGCTGCATGTTTGTATTTTCTGGCTTACTGTTGTGTCTTTGATGCTCAAAATAAACTTGTATGTGCAGCTGATGCCATAAACCAGAGCAGTGGGTTTGACCCCCAAAAAAGCATTCCCTATTGCTTGTTTGCACGATTGCTTGTTCACTCAGTTCTGCATTGACTGTTGGATACCAAAGCAAGCCTGGCTCCTGGCCTGAATTCAGCTTTCAAAGAGGTGTGATCGTCTGTTATCACTTACCTAGCCAAAGGATATCCACTCTACAGGTTTGTATATAAGAATGGTAATTTAACAGCTTTTTTTCTCCTTGGAAGCTTTCCAGATCAATTGTTTTGTTCTGTTTCAAGCGAAATGGGAACATATTTAAAAAAAAAAATAATAAATTATATTGTTCATATCCCTTTGGTAGGCTGTGGCTCTTTGAGCAATAGTTGGTAGGCACAAGTTAATGCTAGGCTAAAACAGAATGATCTCTTTGTTGTTTCTAATGTCGTTGAAGGGTAAATAAGGCCAGGAAATAATATTTTCATGAGTTTTGGTATGTTATATGGTGGGAGGTGTTTACTGAGGGAAGTGAGGAATATTTTGTTCTGCCTCTGGTGAGAATTACAGTCGTGCTCTTACTTCTATCTGCGGAACCTAAATCCCACTTCCAACTGTTAGGCATCAAATGGAATGTGTGAGATGCAACTCTTGGGATGTTAAGTGAGTGAATCTTAGACCTTATCTATTTATTTGTCTCCTGTGTGCTCCCATGTATATCACAGGCATTTTTATTTAATTATTCTGGAACTGGCACATGACTCGCATTACCTCTGTCCTCTGGGTATCTTGCTGACATAACAGTGTGAAGGAGTAATGGCTTATATAGTAAAAACTGGTTGTTAGGAAGAGGGATGCCATTAAACTGTCCCTGTTTAGTAGCAGAAATTACACTTAATACTAAGTACCAGTTTTAAAACCGAACATGGTTGTGTTCAGACCAGCGAATTCATTCAGACAGCCATAAAAGGCTTGTAAGGTCTCATCTTAATTTGCAAGTAAATCTCCATATATTCAGGCTGTGCCACTTTGATACGGAACTGTGCTGTACTACAAGGCTGGCACGTGTATTTACTTAGTGGAGAAAATATATGGCATGGAAACTCTCTTTATGAAAGACTTTGTGTGGTCTAATGGCCTGATTCAGCACACTGAAACCAATGCGAACCTTTCTGCCTGTTTTGGGAATGCAGGAACGTGCCACCAATGTGGAAAACATTCCTCGGGCTGGGAGTGACCAGCACAAATGTCAAAATCATTAAGAAAATAACAGGCTGACAGACCAGCAGCCCCACAGGCATGTGACACATTTGCAGGCAACTGAAAACACAGCTGTTGTCTGAAGATTGTGTGTGAACCAGATGCTCTTAGAAAGCTAGAGGCTATCCTGTTGCATGTAGATGTGTTGTGTTTCTTCAAATCTACAAACAGTGGATTTGGTGTAAAATGTACCTAAAAAGAAACTGAAAAGAGCTGGTTTGTAATTGATTTGCTTTTAATAATTATATGTAATGTAATATCAATGAACTTTATCACATCTTGCTTTATTCTAAATAGCTTCTTCTCAAAAACAGCTGGCAGGAATAATATTTCCCGTTCTTTAATAAATGATGAACAGAATAAAAGCTTGTTTGGGGTCAGTGCTTTACCAAGGGACTGCCCATCCTTTATTTTGGAGGTTTGTATCTTGGTACAAATTTCATACCAGCAGCTCCACCCTGGGAATTCCTTATGGTGTATTTGTTTGTTTGTTTTAACCTGTGAAGTGCATCAGCTCTTTGGAAGTGAGCTGTAACACTGTGCACAAAACCTAAAAGTCTCTGTGTGCAAGCATGGCCATGAGCCCCTGCCTGGGGTATGGTATGTAACCAGAACAGAAATCCCAGCAGCTGGTGGTAGCTGGAGCTGCTTTCCAGGTCCTGCAGATCCCTTTCTCAGTGCTATGCTTTTCTTTCACCTGAGTGAAATCCGAAGCAAACTCCCAAGCTTTATTGTCCCTTGAATCCAGCTGGCGTTCTTATCTGTGTGACTGTTATACATTCCCAGTCAGCAGCCAGGTGATGGAAAAGCCTCTGAATCCAGCTTCTCTGTCTACTTCAATACCATCATTTCACCACTGGGAAAGGTGAAATGCAGAGAAGTGAGGATTGCTGGTGAATGTTGCACTTAAGTGGAGTAGCTGGGGTTGTCACCACTCTGGAACTGGTTCTCTGAGAGAGAGACCTAGGAACTCCCGTGCTGTCACTGGCAGAGGTCTGCAGTCAAACCCAAACATCTTGATGTGCTTTAACAGCTCTTAGTGTTTGCAGACTGTCTTAATATGGTACTTTTCTTTAGACATTAGGTACAGTAAGGCTTGGGAGAGCCCCAATCTCATGAGAGGCTCTATACTGTCCTTGTCCTGATAGTGGGAGGCAGCAGAGTGGGTGCTGGCCATGCAGGAGGCATGCAGGGCTGCCTTTCTCCTAGCGAACCAATTGTTTGAGGTTTCTCTCACAGCTTTTGTACTAAATCAACCACATACCAAAAGGGCATGGAAACTAGTGAGGAATGAGTACAAGCAAGCTCTCTTCATACCAATTTTGCGCAGGGAGGGAGGAAGACAGGGATACTTTTCTAAAAAGGGATTTTTGCTACACTTGCTAATGGTATACATCCCCCCTTTTCCTGCGAGGGGAGAATCGTCCTGTTCTGCTTTGCCCCGATGGGGACCGGCCCCCGCTGCCCCCCGGCCCGGCCGAGGCACCGGGTACGGCTCGGGGAGGCGGCGGGGCAGGGCTACGGCTCCAGCCGGGGGCGGCCCAGGGGAGGCCGGGCCGGGGGCTGCGGTCCTGCCCGCCCCCAGCTCCGTATCTGCTCTGCGGTGCGGCTCTTCGAGGCTCTCTTCCGGCTCTTTCGTCCCCCCGCAAAAAGACGAAGTTGAGCGGCGGCGCTTCGTAGCGACCGCTCTCCCCCATTATCCCCGTCAGTACAACCGGAGTAAAGCAGCGGCGGTACGGAGAGGAGCGCGGAGCCTCCCGCAGCATCCCCGCGGCGCGCCGTGGCAGCGGGCTCAGGCAGTGCCGCTCGGGGCTGCCCGGGGCGCTGCGGTGGGGCCGGGCAGCGCCTCTCGCTCGCGTTTCTTCTGCTTCATGCGGCGGTTCTGGAACCACACCTTCACCTGGGCGTCGCGGAGGTGCAGCGAGCGGGCCACCTCGAGGCGGCGGGCCCGCGACAGGTAGCGGCTGAAATGAAACTCCTTCTCCAGCTCCGTGAGCTGCCGAGTGCTGAAGCCAGTGCGCAGGGAGTAGGCTGGGGGCGCCGCGCTGCCTGCAACGCCGAAAAACACGAGAAACAGCGTGCTTCGGCGGGGGCACGGAGGGTTGGGGCGGGGGTCTGGGCAGAGGGAGCAGAGATGAGAGTGAGCCCCGCCCGCGCCCCGCCGCCACACTCACTTCTGCCGGGCGTGCTCCGCTTCATCCGCATCCACTCGAAGGCGCGGGGCTCCGGCGGGGCCGCCCCCGGGGTGGGACAGCAAGAGCGTGGCTTTTCGGGCTCCGGCGACGTCGGGCGGCCGCTCCCGGCGCAGAGGGACTCGGCGGGACCCGGACACGTGGCCCCGCGGGGCTGCTGGCAGCCGGAGGCAGGGCCGGCCGCGTACACCGCCGCCCCGACGCAAACAGCCAACGGAGGATGCGCGGAGCTGGCCGCTGTGCTCAGCACTGGGAAGGCGTCGAGCCCCCGCAGGAAGCAGGGGGACGGAGGGGTCCCGTGGCACAGCCCGGGCGAGAGGACGATGGGGAAATAGCCCAGGTCCATGCCTGCGCGGACAGCACCACACTACCCCCACCCCCGGACGGGGCAATATTGCCCTGATATAGGGCCGGAGCGAAGGCACGTCCCGCCCCGCGACCAATGGGAGCCCGGCGGGGGCAGCCCGCACCGGGTATCCCGGGCGCCGCCGGTGCCCTGCCCGCTCCCTGCTGCCCGCGGTCGATGCGGGGGCAGCGCACCTCGAGCGCCCAGGCGTGACCCTACGACGGTCTGGCCTTGAGACGGAGGGGACGGCGCCGGGAGTCGGGTGGCCGTTCTCTTCTCAGCCCTCCCGGGACCGCTAGGGATCCTCCACTCGCCGGAGCTGCCGCTGCCTTCGGAGCCGCTCGCCGCACCTCCACGCCGCCCGGATTCGTGTCCCTTTGCCCGGCACGTCTATCCCCTCCCGGCCTGGGGAGCATCCGCGTCTGTCAGCACCCGGGGGGGGGGGAAATGCTGTACCTCCCGACGCTTAATGGCCTCTCTCCATCAGATAATTGCTCCGAGGGCTCTCCAAAGTGAATCCCCGTTCTCTCCGTGCTAATGGGCTTTCACTCTTCCCTTGGCAATTCGGCGTTGCTTACTGAATGTTCACAGCTGGCACGGGAAGCTCACGAAGCAGCAGCGTGGGAATGCGGCCAGTTGTGCTGCCCAGCTAAACCTCCAGCTCAGCCTCCTGCTCTTCTCCGTGAATGGCAAAGAAGCAGGGCTATAAGCCCCGGACTCCGACAGTGATCACCTTTCCCTGACTGGCGGCTACCTGGGAGGCTGGACCGTCGGTCTGAGCTACCTAAGGCTCTGTTTGGATGCTGTTGGGTTTTGTCCAACTCCTAAAACTGAAAGTCATGTCAATGCTGTTCAAAAAGGCAAAAGGCAGAGCGCACGTGAGCTCGGCTGACCTGGGACTGGACAGACGAGGGACACAAGGAGGGTTGCATTATGCAGTTTTGACTTAAGCTTTGACTTAGTTTAGCTTTCTCAGTTTTAGGAGGTGGTTATGGACAACTGGGAAATGCAGAAGTTGCAACTTACCACAGAAATATTTTGGTCCTCAACAAAGGCATGAAATTAAAACCCCTTCACCCGTCATCCAACAGCTGGCTGGTGGCAGTGAAGGAACAGCATGGGGAGACATGATCAGAGCATTTCACTGGCAGCCTCAGCTCCTTCCCATGAGGGTTTGACTCTGCTCAGCCTCGGCTGCCCCACCATCGTGCCCCACTGGTGGCACTGCTTCTGAGCTGGCACGCTTTGCTTCCCTCCAGGGGGAGGGACACATCCCTGGGGCTGGTGGACACAAGATGGTAAGGGCACAGGGACACTTCCTTGCACATGGGCTCTGAACGGCAGAGAGGCTTTCTAACAGCCCCACTTTCTCCCCAGTGCATCCAGCCCATCTGCTGTGAGAGTGAAGGCTGGTATATTGCTGCTTCGTTACTCGGGACTGAGCATCTTCAAACAGAACCCTCACTGTAAGCCCAGAGCCCTGTAGCAGCAGGCACAGCTACGGGCTGTGCTGCCCCAGTGCACTAACAACATGCTATCACTTACACCACCATGCTCAAAGGACAAAGGTGTCAGTTAGAAGTGTTTAAATCAAATATACCTGCTTTGGAAACCCTAAATGTTGAGGGAGGGGTTAAATTCTAGGTGAAGCTTGCTCAGCACATCCAAGGCAAGCAAATAGGTTTAGAAAATGTCATTTTCTGACCAAGCAGAGGTCTGGAAACACCATGCTTCCTTTTTAGCAAAGAAAGCTGTCCAGTAAAAAAGCATTTGCTCCTTCAGGGTCCCCTGCTGCAGAAACTCCCACTGCAGCAAAGCAAGCAGCGCTGGCTCCAGGGGAGGGCTTCTGTTTGCAGAACACAACTGCTCTGATTACACCTAAAACTGTGTTCTAAATGCTAAAGCAAGGGCAGACCGTGTTAATGCTAACATATGATCTTCCCATTCACCCATCTGGATCCTCTTACCGAGTTTCTCATTTGTTACCTGTTTGTTTTTGCACAGCTGCTCAGGGATGAGGAAAGCAGAAGCCACTGCTGAACACAGGCAGTGTCTCCCATTGCCAATGACTTTTGGGGAGTGAACTGCAATTCTCTAAGGTCCCAGATTTCACAGTACTCTGAGCAAAAGCCCTGGTAATGGGATGCTGAGCGACTGCAGATGTTTTTTGATGAGAGGTCTGTTGGATAAGAACCTCTGCAAGTTTGAGGAGTAGGAAGAAAAATAGTTAGATAGAAGCATGGGAAGAATATGAGGGCTGCCAAAAGGAACATATGGCTGTCCAGGAACTCAGCAGAGCAGTGACAGTGTGAGCCAGGGGAACTGCTGGGACACAAACCTCTGGGGGAGCAATGGGACCAGCCAGCCCTTTGCCAGCGCATGTGCTGGAGGCAGTGGCAGCCCCATGCCCGAGGCACTCCTCCAAGACAGGGTCCTGGAGCTGCTTGGAGCGAGCATCTATACAGAAAAACACGCAGATCCCTGAGGAGAACTTGGGGTACGTGGGGATGTGTATCCATCCCTGAACCTGGAATACACACAGTGGTCAGCCATCAAAGGACCTGCAGAGGAAGGCTGCTACAGAAAGAGAATCTCTGGGAAGTTTATTTTATAGAGTATGGCTAAAAACAGGAATGTACAGAGGCCCCAGGGCAAAGAGGGGAAACAGTGCTGCTGCAGTGGGCAAGCAGGCTCAGTTCCATCATACACACAGGCAGGCAGAGCATCACTTCCTGAGGAAGATGCGTCTTCCTCTTCCATCAACACCTGCGTGCCATGGGCCCCCCATTCCAAGCTGACCCCAGGCTGTGCAGTGAGGCTGGAGCAGGGAGTTGTGCTCTCCCAATGCGTGTCATTCACTACTGGGATCCTTTGCATGAGCACCAAGAGGAAATGCTCTCCTCCTGCCAAGGCTCCCCTGGCAGAGGGATGTCCCCACAGGCCCAGTGCCGTGTCACTCCCCATTTGCTATCCTATGCCATGAATTTGGTAGGAAGGAGAAGTTATGAGTATGGATCATTCAGAGACACTGCCCATCAGCAAATAAAGAAAGCGAACACAGGCCCCAGGGGCTCAGTCACATCCTGTCAGCTGGGAGCGGTTACTGGGGGCACTCCAGCCCCAGCCCAGGCACTGCCAAATGGGTTTGCTCAAGTTCCACTGAGCTGACGGAGGAGGAAGGGCTGTGGTGAAGAGCTGCGCGGGCTGTGATTGATGAACGCTCAGATCCAGCCCCCTCCTCCCCGCCTGCCCCACTCCCCGAGAGGACCAATGCTCGGCCCCACCGGGCGTTCAGTCCACAGAAATTCTGCTTCAACTCCGTTCTGGAAACAGAAGAGGTAGCCCTTCATAGTCCGCAGCATCGCACTGTGCCCCACCAGCCACGTGGCTGCCGGCTGTCCTGGCAGCGCTGGCCCTTTGTGCTGCCCGTCTGCTCGCCGCCTTTGTTCCTTCTGGGCTGTGGCAGCCCAAGCGGGCGCGCAGGCAGCCGTCCCATTGGGACGTGGCACCACGTGGCACGTGGCAGGATGGAATGGCAGCCTGGGCTCCTTCCAGCTGCCACCAGTCACCTCTCAGCAGCAGCCCGGCAGCTTCCATCCCCTTTCCCTGTCTTTTTCCTGAGCAAATTCCCCTCTTTGCCCAGATCTCCCTGCAGGCAGCTCCACAGGGCTAGCACAATGCTGGCGTTGCACAGGAACCCCAGACCTGAGTCCTGCTGGAGCAGTGGATCTCCAGTTGCCCTGCTGGCGCCCAGCAAGCCAGAGTCCTCTGGTCAGTGCTGATGGGGTCCCCAGTTCAGACATGGTCCCATGCTGCAGCCACTTGGGGGGGACTGGGTCTGATGGTTTGCAGTGATCTTGCCAATGGTGCAGAAGGCATTTAGCTTTGTTAGCCGAGCCCCACACAAGTGGCATTTTGCCATTCAGGAGTGGGCTGCTGTTAGGATGAGACCAACAAGCAGAGATGCAAAGCCCATGAATGCAATCAGGAGTAGTCTCACTGAAGCCTGGGACACCTGGTGTCCCCCTGTTGGAGCTGTCAGAGTTCCCAGCTCCAGTTCAATGCTGTGGATTCTGCAGCAGGGTGCAGGGCTCTGCCTGCAGAGAAAGGCAAGGCTGTGTGAGCCCCAGGACTGGCTTTGGCCACTGAATTGTGAGTCAAGGGGTAACCAGGGCTCAGTGCATCAGATGCTGCTGCAAAGGAACTGAGTTCCTCCTGAGCATGAAAGGAGCTCCTTTGTAATTTATGAGTTCTAAACGATGGGCCAAGAATAAGTGTGGCCTGTGCCAAAGTGTCTTTCTCCTCTAGATTGCTGATGCTTGTACAAACATTGTAAAAGTGCCAGCGGTCTCACTAAAGTAGCATTACTTCTAATAATTAGGTTATCATCGTGGGCTTCTGCTGTGTTACAAACGAGATGCCTCTGCCAGAGCCACAGAGATGAAAGTGAATTTATTCACAGCAAGCCCCCTCACACACGCTCCTCCTCCTCCTCCCCGCTGGAGACCCAGCGTACAAATCCTGGCTCAATGTGAGCAGGGCCAGGGCCAGCAGGGTGACACTGTGCGAGTCAGCTCTTCCTCCCCCGGGCAGGGAACAGCTTTGTGAATAAACTGATGGTGTAATGCAGAGCCACCGCTGCTCAACAAACAGCCCCAAACAGGAAGGTGGGAAGCACCTGGGAGAGGTGTGCTGGGCTGCACCCGAGGGACCCCCAGGAAGGGAGCTGCCCAGGCCTTGTGCAGCATGTGAGACACATTGTGGGTGGAGAGCAAACAAAAGGATCTGCATGGAGTTCTCCAACCCTGGTGCATCGATTACAGAGGCGTTTGGAGATACAAACATATTTACATATACAGAACATTACGGAAGTGTATCTCATGAGTAGTGTCCAGCCTTACTTTCCACATTGTTGTACATTTCAGTCACTCCCGCATGGATCTTCTAAGAGAGTTTGTATGAGGACTTTAATAGAAAACAATGTTAGGGCTCAGAATGGT